CATTAAAATTTGAACAATATTAAACAATTATTTCATTTGTATTAGTAAATATATAAGTGCAATATTTACAAGTTATGGTCAAGATACATTAAAACTTAAATAATTACAATAAAAACAAAACCAAATTACATTAGATCCTAATGAGGAAATCACTCCCACACTAAAATCTGGAGAATATGATCCTAGTTTAGATCAGTCTAACCAATCTTCTGAAAATAGTGATACATTATTTTCTAAAAATGAAAGTACTGATGAGTCTTCTCCTCTCTACAAAAATCAAATTAAAATAACAAAAATTAACGAATTTACATAGATCAAACATGATAACAATCATATCAGCAACATTTTTAAAATACACATTAAGATCATATTATTTCATATATTTTTACACCAATTAGAATGTCATAATATGTGTATTATAATTACACCAGTCAATATGTCATAATACATGTGTCATAATCGCACTCATTAATGTATTACAAATCATATATTATAATCACACAAATCAATATGATACAATACATGTATTATAATTACACGATCATTATGTTATAACATATATATCATAATTCTACAATCATTGCCCCTGGAATCCCATAAGGTCTTTCATAAATATAAATCGTCATTAGTTAGTCGTAACAACAAGGATACAACGTGTGCCAACCCGATCCCTTTTAGCAAAGATAATGTTAGAGGTTTAGTTAAGAAATAAGTGTGAGACCTGTGATACTTTTGATTTCAGCAATTCATGTGCACTCACTACGAACAACATTCACCGCCCTTATTTCTCCTGTACATTCAATGTATCTTTGTAACTATTCATACACATTTCTATCACCTTTCGTGATAATACAACTTTCACTATTTTTCATTTCTCATCATAAAATTATCAATCACGCCAAAGGTCAGACACTTTAAGACTTAGTTCAATTCGTATATTTTAAAATAAATAAATAAATAAATCATATTTTCACATCCTTCATAGAATACTTGCATACATCAATTTTCAAACAAAAATGCACAATCATGATAACATGCCATTTAAATACAATTAAATCATCAATAATTTGCTAGAAGTCAAACACTTCCGGACTCAATTCTAATTGTATTTTTATGCTATAATTACTTTCAAATATAAATCTTCTATACTAGTGTTTGAAGTACATCGCTATATAATTATTTTGTACAATATATTTTTTCCATGCAAACTTTTCAAAACACAAAATATCATGCAATCATCCATTTCAAAATTTATCTAACAAAAGAAAATAACATAAATACCGTCTTACTCAACTTTATCTAGAAAACTCTAATTCAAATGGCTCGTGAGTCAAACTTTAAGATTTGATATTCAAGAAATTCACTTTTAAGTTTATATTTTTGATATAAACATCATATAACCACATGCCGAACAAAGCATGTGTACGGAGATGAAAGGATTTTTTTTTTGTTAAAGCTATAAGTGATGGAATAGAACCCTTCTTACCTCATGAGGTAATTTTTGAAGAGATTGTATGATAGACCAAGTTCTTCCTATATATATATCACAAAGTAGAGTACTTTTGAGAAAGGAGAAAACAGAAAAATATAAGTGAGACTAAGATACTAAAATTCGAGAAACTTGCTTGAAATCGAGTAAAACAAATGTCCAAACTTGGATTTGAGAAAGGTTCAAAGTTTAAAGGGGTTTTTTTTTAGAAAGGGAAGAGGGAGAATAGAGAGAAAAGTAAAGGAAAGGTTACTTGGACTGTAATGCAAGTTTAGAACATTTATTTTTCTTAAATACCTTTTTTGGCTTGCGACTTCTTAACTAATTGAATGAGTTTTCGCTTGGGCAAGGATATTCTCACCTGAGTGAGTTGCCTTCTCGCTTGAGCGATAGGACAGTTGGGATGATATTATCTAATCCCTCCTAAGCAAGTTTGCTCTGCAACAAGTGGTCAAGAATAACCAATTTTCGCTTGAGTGAGATCTCCTAAAATTTTCTATTTAAAGAAAACAAGCAATAATAAAAAATAAGGATGTTATAGATTGCGTTGAGAGCAACAAATCACATGCAAACCAATTATAAACTCTTCAATTTCTTCCTTTCTTTATTAAAAGAACTACTAAGGACCACATGAAATGCAATAAAGCAAAACAACAACCCTTCAATTGTTTTGCTAAATTAGAAAATAGAGTTTTAGGAATCAAGAGAGACAAAGAAAAATCAAAAGTAGACAAACCTAAATCGAGACACCGAGAGTATATGCATGTATTGGATGAGTATATGTTGGATGAGAACATACTTTTGTTATGTTTGATGTATGTTTTGTGGTGTTAGATGATGTGTATGGTCCTTGTTTTGAGTGTATATGCATGTATGTGATGGACTGAGTTCGAGGGCGACCAACTCTTGGTAATGATTGATTAGTATATGACGTAGTAATGAACTTGAGTGAAATAGAGAAATGAAGGGATGAATAATATGATAGAATACAAATAATATGCTCATGTTATAGTAAATAATGAGTTTAGGCTATAATGACCAATGAGAAGAGTAAAGTCCATAATGAGAAATATGGAAATGAGATAGGAAATATGGAAAGAGAAATGATATGAGAAAGAAAAAAAAAATGATATGGACAAGTATAGATAGTTTAGAGGTACACTAGGGGTGTGGAAGATGGAGACGATTGAGAAATCTTGGAGAAATGAGGGTGGTGGATGCTCTCCTTGAATTGCACATAACAAATGAGAGTAAGAGTACCACAGGCCTTACACTTGTTTCCTGACTTAAACTCATGACCATACTTTTGCTAAAAGAGGCCGAGTCGCACACATTGTATCCATGTAGTTGTGGCTATCCAGCAATTCTGTAACTAATAGGTTGTTGATAAATGCTTTCTATACTTGATCGTACATTGTAATTCATGAATGATAATTGAGAGTTTTAAGCTATTCATTGAGAAAATTTACTATTATTAATTTCATTTTATTCATATTTCAGGAAAAAGGATCAAGAAGTGAAAGCTTTAAAAGCTATTGGGAATTGAAACACACAAAAAAGCCAGAGATATACACGAGCAAGTACATGCCCGTGTATATGAGCGTGTATCTCACTGGTCGCGTCAATTGAAGTGTATCATCAAAACCAGAGATGTACACGGCCAGATACATGGCCGTGTGCATGAGCGTGTACTTTTATGGAAAGCTTTGAAGGGCGTCTATTAGAAAACAGAAATGTACACGGCCAAGTACATGGCCGTGTACTTGGCCGTGTACTTTTACGCGCGTAAGAAATTTAACTTTTGCGAGAAAATTAACCCTAGGATAATTCCTATAAAAGGAGAACTAAACTCAAACCCGAGAGGCAGTTTTTGGAGACGAAAGACTTAGAGACGGCAGGAGGATAGGATCAAGCGTTTCAATTCATCTCTTTTCTAATTTTAATTTCAAGATGTTTAGGTTTTAATTTTCCTTTGAATATCTAGACGTAATGAATCCTAATTGACTAAATTTTCTGGAATTCTTCTAATGCTATTTCATGTTCTTTTCTCTTGGGTTTAATTGAGTAGTATCAATTTTCTCTATCTTGTTTTCTTGTTTGAATTTGAGTAAAATTCCTGCAAGAAATTAACATTGCTCAATTAAAAAGACTTGAATGTATTTCTAGAGATAGAAAGACGTGAGTTTTCTGTATTAGGATTAATCCTAATTATGGAATTCATAATGAACTTAGTGCAACCTAGGGGTATTAATTAAGGAAGAGATTCCGATTAATCAACTGAGGGTTAGGAATCATTATCCTTGAGAAAGGTATTGATTTAATTTGGAATTTCCTGCAGCGATAAGGGTTTGGAACTAAGTAGTTGAAGAAGAATTTCAGTTATTTGGACAGTTAGGGGGATTTACAGTCTAGATACTTGCCTTTTTACATTGAATACCTTTAGTCATAATTTTCTATAATTTATTTTCACTAGAATATCTGTTCCTTTTAATTTATTATTCTTTTACTCTTAGCAATTTCATCAACAAGGTTTATTTTTCATATTTATTAACAATTACGCAATTAAGGAAAAGTTTCTTAATAACAGTCCCTGTGGATACGACACTTGGTAGTTTAATTTTAATTAAAATAATATTACTTCGACAACGAGTACACTTGCTCAGTAATTCAATTTTTACACACCAAGTTTTTGGCGCCGTTGCCGGGGGACTGTTTAATTAGGATTCCCTTTATTACGTATTTACTAATTTTATTTATTTCTTTTATCTTGAATTAACTTAACTATTTTCCTTTCATTGCTTTTAGGAGCTGATTTTTCTAGTGTATGATCAAAACCCGTTCTACTGCACTGTCTGAAGAACTATTTAAATTTGACCCAGAGATCGAAAGAACTTTGCAAAAAATTCGGAAAGAGAGGCGACTGCTAGTACAGAGGAAAAACGCAAAAAAACACATGGAAGGAATGGCAAACAACGAAGATCAACCAAGGACCATGTCCGATTATGCTCGTCCATCATTAACAGGGACAGAGTCTAGCATTGTCCGTCCGGATGTGCAAGGGAATTTTGAAATAAAGCCCAATGTTATTCAGATGGTTCAGCAGTTTGTCCAGTTTGATGGGTTGCAAGACGAAGACCCCAATGCTCACATTGCAAATTTTTTGGAAATTTGTGATACTTTCAAGATCAATGGAGCTACTGATGATGCAATCCGCTTGAGGCTATTTCCATTTTCTCTCAGGAGCAGAGCAAAGCAATGGTTGAATTCTCTCCCACGAGGGTCTATCACTTCATGGGAGGCTATGGCAGAAAAATTCTTGGCAAAATATTTTCCTCCCGCGAAAACTAAAATGAGGAACGATATCTCTTCCTTCTATCAGTTGGAGTCAAAGACGTTATACGATACGTGGGAGAGGTTCAAGTAATTGTTGCGGAAATGCCCACATCATGGGATTCCGGACTGGCTTCAAGTGCAAACCTTCTACAATGGATTAAACCCAGCCACAAGACAAATGATAGATGCTGCAGCTGGGGGCACTTTGAATAGCAAGACACCAAGGGTTGCACAAGAACTGTTTGAAGAAATGGCAATGAATAACTATCAGTGGAGCGCCACTCGATCCAAATCTGTAAAATCTGCGGGGATCCATAGTCTTGATGCAGTAACATCCTTGGCAATGCAAGTAGAAGCCTTAGGGAAGAAGATTGATGGTTTATCTGTTAACCATCAAGTTGCTTTGGTAATGAGATGTGATATTTGCGGAGGAGGCCACCCTAATCATGAGTGTCGAGCTACTCAGGAAGAACATGCCAATGTGATAGGAAACATACCACCTTACCAAAATTATAATGGCATGAATAATCCAGGCTGGAGGAACTATGCAAACCAACCATGGAACAACAACCAACAGCCAATGCGGAACAACGCACTCACAGGATTTCAACAAGCTTCACATCCACCACCACCCCCAGCTGAAAAGAAGTCAAACCTTGAGGAGTTGATGACCAAATTCATTCAAACTTTAGAATCTCGGTTCCAATCCACCGAAACAGCACTAAGAAATCAACAAGCCTCTATTCATAATTTAGAAATTCAGTTGGATCAAATTTCTAGACTCCTCTCAGAAAGACCCCAAGGAAGCTTGCCTGGCAATACTGAGACTAATCCTAGGGAGCAGGTTAATGCAGTAACATTAAGGAGTGGCAGAACATTACAAGAGAAGGGGAAGCAAGAAACAGAAAAAGATGCAGTTGAAGGGGAGGATAAGTGTCAAGTGGAGCCTGTGAAAAAGCCCCCTGTAGTGAAAGAATTCATACCACCACGTCCCTACCCAGCAAGATTGAAGAAAGACAAGGATGGTGAACAATTTGGTAAATTTTTATCCTTATTTCGTCAACTTCATATTAATTTACCGTTTGTTGATGCCTTGGCACAGATGCCTAAGTACACCAAATTTCTGAAGGATCTACTGTCCAACAAGAAGAAATTGGAGGAGTTGGCCACAGTAACTCTGAATGAAGAATGCTCAGCAATTCTGCAAAACAAGATGCCCGAAAAATTGAAGGATCCAGGGAGTTTTACTCTTCCTTGTCTCATTGGTAGATTGATAGTTGATAGGGCTTTAGCTGATTTAAGTGCTAGCATTAATTTGATGCCATATTCTATTTTTAAGAAATTAGGTTTAAGGGAACCTAGGCCAACTAGGATGAGTATTCAACTAGCTGATAGGTCAATTAAATATCCTAGATGTATCATTGAGGATGTGCTTGTAAAAGTGGACAAATTTATTTTTCCTGTTGATTTTGTGATTCTTGATATGGACGAGGACATTGATGTCCCCTTGATCTTAGGTCGTCCATTTTTAGCTACTGCAGGGGCTATAATTGATGTGAGGGATGGAAAGTTAATTTTGAGGGTTGGAGATGAAAAAATCACTTTCAAAATTCCTGATGTAATAAAAAAGTCTTTGAAACAAGATGATTCTTGCTACTTTATTAATGTAATTAATGATTATGTTTCTGATTGTGCACAAGAATTCTTGATTTCAAACTCATTGGAAATAAGCTTAGTTCATGATAGAGGAAAAGATGATATGAGCTTGGTAACTCAAGAACAGTGGTGTCATTTAGAAGCCACTAAGCCATTATGGAGAAATAGAGACTTTAAAGTTTTGGAGTGGAAATCAGAGAAGCAACGCAACCCATCCATTAATGAACCACCAGATGAAAAATTGAAGGTCTACCATCATAAAAAAATCAAGGGAGGTAAACTATTTCAAAAAGGTGATTTAGTAGTACTGTTGTGCAACTCTCGCCTCAAATTATTCCCAGGTAAACTCAAATCCCGTTGGTCTGGACCGTTTACTGTGCATAAGGTATGTCCTTGTGGTATAATTGAATTAACTCATCCAGAAAAAGGAAATTTTAAGGTGAATGGACATAGGCTGAAACTGTACTAGGGGGTCAACTGCAAACTTTTGCAAATGAGGAGTTTAAACTCCTCCATGTTGAATGTTGAATTACATTAAATAGTTTAGGTTAGGTAGGTTTAGTTTATTTTAATTTAGTTATTTATTTCCTCATTTATTTATATTTTGAATAAGCGTCCTCACCCCAGCATGAACCCCATCTCCTTCTGACCACTTTCTTAGTATAGATGATGAAAACTCAGATGATGCTAGTGCAACACTTTAGTCTGCCTTAGGATAGTCTTAGTTATTGAATTTTTTTTTACTTATGTTATTTTTAGGATTTATATTGCTTTTGTCTGTTTACTGCTTCTGTTTCTTTATGGCATTATTTTGATCGTTCTACTCCTCTTGTCATTCTGAACTTAGTTAAATCTCTTTATAAGTCAATTTTAATCAGGTTTCCTCTCCAATTGAATCTCAGATTAGCTTTGCTTCCCACGACTCTCTGCTTATTTATTTACTTTTCAGGGAAGTTTCAGTTGCATTTTAATTCTTATATTTGATTGAGGACAATGCAAATCTTACAATGTGGGGTGGATAATTATAGATGTTTGAACTGAATTGTTGTTTTATTCTTGAGCAATATTGAGTCAATTTTACTGTTGCATTAGAGATGATATTCCTGAAAATATAATCAATAAATAAACATCACACACAATTATTCTGGTTATTCTAATTGTGTTTTTAATTGTTTCTTGATTGAAGTATCATTAGACTTTTCTGAATTGAGGACCTTGAATCTATGCCAAATTGTTTAAACATGTTTTTGAATTTTTGAATTAATAAAACCAGGAAAATCTGAAAAAAAAATTGGGGCTCTGCTCAGAAATAAAAGAGCATGCCATAGAAGCATATCTAGTTGAATGTGGATTGCAGGCAATGTCCGGATACCACATCCTAGAACCCCGAAATCGTTTGAGGTACCGATGTGGAAAGCAAGGGGTGGAATTTTCCATTAATACCTTGTGCTAATTGGGATGGAGCATAAAATGCACCCTATTAGCCGATCATGGCTCAAAGTAAAGAAAATTAAATAACACCTTGTGGAAGAATTCAAAGTTTTGAATTAAAAATTTTAAGAGCTAATGGTAGAGAGGTCCTTATTTCAGTTCTGTCTAAAGTTACAAAGGTCAAGAGCAAAAGAAAGCACAATTTGATGTTTAAGAATTACTTTCCCTCTAAAAATAAAAAATAATAATAAAAATAAATAAATATAACAATAAGAAAAATTCAGGAATTTGATTCTTTGTTGTCAAGGGTAAAAATTGATCCATTTCTTTGCTTGGGGACAAGCAATCGTTCAAGTTCGGGGGAATTTGATAAATGCTTTCTATACTTGATCGTACATTGTAATTCATGAATGATAATTAAGGGTTTTAAGCTATTCATTGAGAAAATTTACTATTATTAATTTCATTTTATTCATATTTCAGGAAAAAGGATTAAGAAGTGAAAGCTTTAAAAGATATTGGGAATTGAAACACACAAAAAAGCCAGAGATATACACGAGCAAGTACATGCCCGTGTATATGAGCGTGTATCTCACTAGTCGCGTCAATTGAAGTGTATCATCAAAACCAGAGATGTACACGGCCAGATACATGGCCGTGTACATGAGCGTGTACTTTTATGGAAAGCTTTGAAGGGTGTCTATTAGAAAATAGAAATGTACACGGCCAAGTACATGGCCGTGTACTTGGGCGTGTACTTTTACGCGCGTAAGAAATTTAACTTTTGCAAGAAAATTAACCCTAGGATAATTCCTATAAAAGGAGAACTAAACTCAAACCTGAGAGGTAGTTTTTGGAGACGAAAGACTCAGAGATGGCAGGAGGATAGGATCAAGCGTTTCAATTCATCTCTTTTCTAATTTTAATTTCAAGATGTTTAGGTTCTAATTTTCCTTTGAGTATCTAGACGTAATGAATCCTAATTGACTAAATTTTCTGGAATTCTTCTAATGCTATTTCATGTTCTTTTCTCTTAGGTTTAATTGAGTAGTATCAATTTTCTCTATCTTGTTTTCTTGTTTGAATTTGAGTAAAATTCCTGCATGAAATTAACATTGCTCAATTAAAAAGACTTGAATGTATTTCTAGAGATAGAAAGACGTGAGTTTTCTGTATTAGGATTAATCCTAATTATGGAATTCATAATGAACTTAGTGCAACCTAGGGGTATTAATTAAGGAAGAGATTCTGATTAATCAACTGAGGGTTAGGAATCATTATCCTTGAGAAAGGTATTGATTTAATTTGGAATTTCCTGCAGCGATAAGGGTTTGGATTTAAGTAGTTGAAGAAGAATTTCAGTTATTTGGACAGTTAGGGGGATTTACAGTCTAGATACTTGCCTTTTTACATTGAATACCTTTAGTCATAATTTTCTATAATTTTTTTTCACTAGAATATCTGTTCCTTTTAATTTATTATTCTTTTACTTTTAGCAATTTCATCAACAAGGTTTATTTTTCATATTTATTAACAATTACGCAATTAAGGAAAAGTTTCTTAATAACAGTCCCTGTGGATATGACACTTGGTATTTTAATTTTAATTAAAATAATATTACTTCGACAACGGGTACACTTGTTCAGTAATTCAATTTTTACACACCAGTTGTGCATGTATGCTTGGTAATGATAATATAGGCTTATCCTTACAAACATTTTTAAGAAACCAGGATAACGGAGCCAAGGGAAAGGATTAGGCTGATAAGTAGTTATGTAACTAATAGGCTTAATCATGTATTTAATGAATACTAGAGAACATGTTTCTTTAGAATTGCTGAACATGTTGATGAGGTACTTTGGAATGCTATTATGATGGAAATAGAACTATATTATAGTATTCTTTTGATTTCCCTATAAGTAGAATACACCACACTTTTTGTGTATATTATATCTTCCTTGGAACAGTTAGGACTTCAGCTGCTGTGACTTACCTGTTTACATATCACGACCATGATCATCTGGGAAGACCTTATAGATAGACTTTTGAGCGTGTTACCCGCAGGGAGGTTACTACTGACTCAGGTGATCGTTATCTTGAAACAGGTGATGACCTCAATTTTAAAGACCTGACATAAATAGAGAGTTGGCATGGGACCGATTAGTAATGGGTTCTTAGTGTTTGGTGTATTTTGGGGAATACTCTGAGACTTAATTTGTCAACTTGATGTAAATATTATTTTAAGTCACATATATTTTAACAAATAGTTTGAAAATTATTACACTTGATATGTATAAAATGCATATTCAGTTCTTAGTAAAGAAAATTTTGATTATGGATTATTACATTCTTTAAACTCATTTCTATTTCTATTAATGTTGTACGTATTTGAACATTTTGGTTTACAAAGAAGCTATCCACAATGAGACTTTCATTGATTTGATATAATAATATTTAATAATACAGAAAATGGTATTTCCATTCTAAATAATTAATAAAGAATGTGATTTCCATATTTTAAAATTTTTGGATGTTACAATTTGGTATCAGAGTAGTTCTTCAAAAGCAGACTAGGGTGTGGGACTAGTTCGTCTGTGTTATGTACTCTTATAGGTTGATTGATTGTTAGAATGGCCAGTTTGACTCTCCAAATATAGAATCATGGTCGGTAGAGGTAGACCCGCGGGAGTCATGAATGAAATTCTGAACCGCATGACTCAAGTACTAAAACCTCTAGTATAGAACCAGGAAGCTGAGCCAATGGAGTACTGGGGATTATCGTTATTTACAAAACATAACCCTCCAAGATTTGAGGGAAAGTTTGACCTCGAAGGAGCTCAACGGTGGATTGCGGACATAGAAAAGATCTTTAATGTGATGGGCGGCTGTGAAGAGCATAAGGTGGGCTATGCCACTTACATGCTAAGTGGAGAAGCGGAAGACTAGTGGAGATTTGCCAACCAAACCCTGCCTTAGGAAGAGGGGTATATCTCCTAGGAGGCATTCAAGACTTGCTTTTTGGGAAACTACTTCCTGAGAGATCTACAGAAGTAAAACGCAAGGGAATTCCTCGAGTTAAAACAAGGGGACATGTCGGTAGGGGAATATGTTGTCAAATTTCATAAGTTAATGAAATATTGGCCCCACTTTCAGTATGAAGGCAAAGAGGAGGATCTGTGTGCCTAATTTGAGAGCTGACATCTGCACTGCTGTGAATGTATTCTAAGTGATGGACCTTCTGACGTTCGTAAGCAAGTGCCGAGTCTACCTCAATCGAAGTGGAGGGATGGTGAGGCAAGATAGAAGGCCCTCAAGATTTCAAAGGAGACCCTATATAAGCCCAACTCAATCTCAGGTGAGCGGGATTGCACCTCACAGAGGTGGTAGCTACAACTCTAACATCCCTCGAGAACCATTGAAGTGTTTCCAATGCGGCAGACCCTACATGATTTAAAATTGCGCACAACTAACTCCTGCATGTGGTCACTGTGGAAAGATGGGGCATCCAACTACTGCTTGTTGGTTTGCACCTCAAATGAGCGAAAGTGTTAGTGGGAGCAATGAGCCAACACCTAAGAGCAGTAGTGGATCAAAGTCCAATGTCTAAGGCAAAATGTTTGCCATGATTAGCTCTGAAGCGGCAAAGTCTGATGATCTCATCTGAGGTAAATGCATCTTGAAAGACAAACTTATTGATGTTCTTTTTGATTCTGGTGCTATGCATTCTTTCATTTCCTTGGATTGTGTGCGTTGTCTTGAATTTCCTGTCTCTGCTATTCCATATGATATTGTAGAATCCACCCCTATAGATAAGCCTATAATAACCTTGCACATATGTTTGGGTTGTTCTGTGATGATTCATGGTAGGAATTTCTTGGTAGATTTTATTTGCCTACCTCTTTCTCAGTTGGACATTGTATTAGGAATGGATTGATTATGGTCCAATCATGTCCTTCTTGATTGTAAAGAGAAAGCACTAATTTTTAGTGCTAGTGTACCGAGAGATCCCAGGCTCCTATGTGAGGGTAACTCAAGGAACCTGATTCATGTCAAAGCCTTAATGGTACTATTCTTTGCTGAGGTAGAAAAAGTATGAAGGTGGAGCACATACTAGTGGTGAACGAGTTCTTAGAAGTCTTCCCAGAGGATGTAACCGAACTACCACCAAAGATAGAGATTGAGTTTACGATCGACCGCATGGTAGGAGCAAGCCAGTCTCCATTGCACCTTATCGAATGTCACCGATTAATTGATTGAAGTGAAAAAGCAAGTTAAAGACTTGTTAGAGAGACAATTTGTGAGACTGAGCGTATCACCATGGGGAGCTCATGTGCTTTTAGTAAAGAAGAAGGATGGAAGCATGAGAATGTGCGTCAACTATTGCCAATAGAATAGGGTGACGATAAAAAACAAGTATGCCCTTCCCAAAATAGATGACTTGATGGATCAACTGCAAGGAGCCTCGATATTCTCAAAGATTGATCTACGATCTGGATAGCATCAGATTCGGGTGAAGAACGAAGATATTCCAAAGATTGCGTTCAGAACTTGTTATGGACACTATGAGTATTTAGTTATGCCTTTTGGTATGACTAACGCTCTGCATTATTCATGAATTACATGAATCGAATCTTCCATCAATATTTAGACCAGTTCGTGGTGGTATTCATAGATGACATCTTGATATATTAGAAGAGCCATGAGGAACATGCCGAGCATCTAAGGATTGTCTTGTGGATTCTGAGCGAGAGACAGTTATACACTATGTTTTCAAAATGCGACTTTTGGTTATTGCAGATACAATTTCTGGGACATATAGTATCACGCGAAGGAATCATGGTTGACCCAACTAAGGTTGAAGCAGTGTCTCAATGGTCAAGACTTACTACTCCAACAAAAGTCTGAAGTTTCTTAGGATTGGTAGGCTATTATAGAAATTTCATTGAGGAATATTTTATGATAGCCTTACCTTTGACAAAGTTGACGTGGAAAGGGAAGGACTTTGACTGGAATGAGGAATGTGAGGCAAGTTTCCAGAAGTTGATGGAGAGATTGACATCAACACCTCTGTTGATTCTGCCAGATTTTGAACAAAAGTTTAAAGTATACTATGATGCATCAGGACAAGGTCTTAGATGTGTTTTGATGCAAGACGGGAGAGTAGTAGCGTATGCATCTAGGCAACTTTGATCCCACAAAGTCAATTATCCCACACATAATTTAGAACTGCAGCAATGGTCTTTATACTGAAGATATGGAGGCACTACCTCTTTGGGGAAAGATTCGAAGTCTTTAGCAACCACAAAAGTTTGAATTACCTGTTCGATCAGAAAGAGCTGAACATGCAACAACAGAGGTGGATGGAATTTCTAAAAGACTACGACTTCACGTTATCTTACCATCCAGGAAAAGCGAATGTGGTTGTGGACATGTTAAGCAAAAAATCCTTTCACATCTCTGCTATGATGGTGAAGGAATGGAAGCTAATTGAGGAATTCAAATATTTGAATTTGGTAGTGGAACTACGACCCAACAGTCTTTATCTTAGGACTTTAAAGATCAGCAACGATTTCTTAGTTCAAGTTCAGTCTATGCAATAAAAAGATCTCTATCTGCAAGAGATGATGTGCCAAAAAGATGAAGGCAAGAGCTTGGAATTTCATCGTGATTTGAATGGACTAATAAAATTCAAGGACAAAGTGTGTATCCCTCAGAACAAAGAGCTGAAATAGATGATTTTGGGAGAAGCTCACAAGAGTAAGCTGAGTTTCCACCCGGGAGCAACAAAGATGTACCAAAACCTACGGAAATGCTTTTGGTGGTATGGAATGAAGAAGGTGGTAGCAGAGTACGTGGCAAAATGTCTAACTTGTAGAAAGTCAAAGACGAAATACCAATGCATGCCCAGAGAGTTACAACCACTAGAAATTCTTGAATAGAAGTGGGATAGCATCTCTATGGACTTCGTGTCTAGCTTGCCAAAGACCAAGTAGAATCATGATGTGATATGGCTGATTATAGACAGATTGATCAAGACTGCACATTTTCTTCCAATTAACATGAAGTACTAGATGGAGAGGCTAGCAGAGCTGTATATTAAAGAGAGAGTTAGATTGCATGGAGTGTCTATGAGCATCATGTCTGATCGAGATCTGAGATTCACTTCTAAATTTTGGGAAAGTCTGCAAGGATCGTTAGGGACTAAGTTGAAACTTAGTTCAGCATATCATTCTTAGACCGATGGACAAACGGAGCAAACCATCCAAATTCTTGAAGTCTTGTTACGAGCTTGCATGATTGAGCAATAAGGAACTTGGGAGGAGTGCCTACCCTTGATAGAATTTACGTACAATAATAGCTATCACATTGGCGTCGGGATGGCACCGTACGAGGTATTGTATGGAAGGAAATACAAAACGCCTTTATGTTGGTACATGTTTGGAGAGACAATTCTGTATGCCTCTAACCTAGTTCAAAGGCAGAACGATCAAATCAAGATGATCAGGGAGAAGATCAAGGTTTCTCAAGATAGACAAAAAAGTTACTATGATGGTTGGAGGAAACCTTTAGAATTTCAAGTAGGAGACTATGTGTTTTTAAAGGTTTCACCCACCGCTGGAGTTGGTAAAGCCTTAAAATCCAGAAAGTTGTTACCTAAGTTTATTGGATCCCTCAAAATCTTGCAAAAGGTTGGCTCAGTAGCTTACCGAATTGCCTTGCCACCTAGTCTTTCAAATATGCATTCAGTCTTTCATGTGTCCCAACTCAAAAAATACATTCTGGATCAATCTCATGTGATCGAACTTAATCTTGTCCAAGTTCAAGAGAACCTCTCTTATGATGTATTTTCGGTGAAGATTGCCGATCGCCAAGTCAAGCAGGTAAGGGGTAAAGAGATATCTCTAGTGAAAGTAATATGGAGTACAAATGATGAATAAGATGCAACTTGGGAGCTTGAAGATAAAATGAGGATGACCTATCCTCATCTCTTCTAACCTCATTAATTTTAGGGGTGAAATTCCTAAAAGGATGACAGAGTTGTAACATCTTATTTTTGTTATTTATTAATTTTATATTTTGTGTGGATTGTTAATGCTTGTTACTTGAATATAGAGAGTTTTAGGTGTTTGAGTTACAAGATTTCTTGCTGTAGCAAGAAATGAGCATCTAGAATTAGGCTTTTTGACAGTCTCTTGCTGTAGCAAGAAGCTCTCACTATAGCTAGAACGAATGACCACAAAGTGCAATTTTGTCTGGTTCTTTTGTTGCAGCGAGAGAAGGTCTTGCTAAAGCGAGATTTGGCTCGCTGTAGCGAGAATGTCGCGAGTTGAAGGATATTTAAGAGTTTTCAAGTTGAGAAACTTGGATTATAATCCAAGTTACGACCCTATCCACTCTCTCTGACTTCTCTCCCCATTTCCTCATAAAATCCTTGAAAAATCTCAACTTTTCTCCGATCAAAGCTTAAGGGTTCATTTTCTTTGCTCCTTGGTAAGTTTTTGAAGCTTGGTTCTCTATTCTTTTGGTTATTTTCTTGTTTTTTCTTCCTCTAAATAGGATCTCTTATGATATTTAGGAAGAACCCAACCTTTTGAGCAAGATATCTCAAAAACCTTTACTATATTTCCATTTCAAGGTAAGGAGAGCTCTATCTTGTTACTAAGAAAGTGGTATGCTTGTGTTCATGATGAAATACATGATTTTGAGTATATGTTGGATGAGAACATGTTTTTGTTATGTTTGAAGTATGTTTTGTGGTATTGGATGATGTGTTTGATCTTGTTTTGAGTGTATATGCATGTATGTGGTGGACTGAGTCCGAGGGTGACCAACTCTTGGCAATGATTGATTAATATATGACGTAGTAATAAACTTGAGTGATATAGAGAAATAAAGGGATGAATAATATGATACAATACAAATAATAAGCTCAGGTTATAGCAAATAATGAGTGTAGGACATAATGACTAATGAGAAGAGTAAAGTCCATAATGAGAACTATGGAAATGAGATGAGAAATATGGAAAGGGAAATGAAATAAGAAAGAAAAAAAATGATATGGACAAGTATAAGTAGTTCAGAGGTACACTGGGGATGTGAAAGATAGAGGCAATTGAGAAATCTTGAGAAAATGAGGGTGATGGATACTCTTCTTGAATTACGCATAACAAATTAGAGTAAAAGTACCATAGGCCTCACACTTGTTTCCTGACTAAAACTCCTGACCATACTTTTGCTAAAAGGGTTTGGATCGGCAGACGTTGTATCCATGTAGCTGCAGCTATCTAACAACTATCTGTGTTAAGGAAGACTTCAAAGGATCCTAGGAGCAGTGAAAGTGTGAAATGAGAGCTCTAAGTGATAATAAAGAGAGAATGTAATAAGTTAAATAACTAATATGTATTACTTTTGTATAAGCATGATCGTGTGACATGATGTTTTGTGGTATTTGCCTTGTTGTTGAATTGGTTGTGCATGTATGCTTGGTAATGAGAATAGAGGCTTATCCTTACAAACATTTTTAGGAAACTAGGATGATGGAGCCAAGGGAAAGGATTAGGCTGATAAGTAGTTCTGTAACTAATAGGCTTAATCATGTATTTAATGAATGACAGAGAACATGTTTCTTTAGAATTGCTATACATGTTGATTAGGTACTTTGGAATAATATTATGATGGAAATGGAACTATATTGTAGTATCCTTTTTGATTTCCCTCTAAGTAGAATACACCATACTTTGTGCATATATATCTTCCTCGGCACAGTTAAGACCCCAACCGCTGTGACTTACCTGTATACATATCACGACCACGATCATCTGGGAAGACCTTCTAGATGGACTTTTGAGCATGTTACCAGCAGGGAGGCTACTATTCACTCAGGTGATCGTTACCTTGGAACAGATGATGACCTCAATTCTAAAAACCTGGCAGAAATAAAGAGTTGGCCTATGACCGATTAGTACTGGGTTCTCAGTGTCTGGTATATTTTAAAGAATACTTTGGGACTTAATTTGTCAACTTGATGTAATTATTTTGACTGTGTAAATGTTATTTTAAGTCCCATATATTTTAACAAACAGTTTGTAAATTATTACACTTGATATGTATAAAATGCATGTTCAATTCTTAATTAAGAAAATTTTGATTATGGATTATTACGTTCTTTTAAACTTATTGTTGTTTTTTTATTAATATTGTATGCATTTGAACATTTTTGTTTACAATAAACCCATCCACAATGAGTTTTTTTTTATTTGATATAATAATATTTAAAAATGTGGAAAATGACATTTTCATCCTAGATGATCAATAAAAATGCAATTTCCATACTTTAAAATTTTAGGATGTTACTGTAACATCCAAAATTTTAATTGTCTGTTCTATGCTATTAATGGATTTTCTTGATTAATTTATATGAATAAGTTTAATAAGAGACTAATTGAATATTTATTAGAATTCAAATATATGCTGATTAGGTAAACTAGAATTAGAAATTTATAGTAGAACTTAAGTAAAGACTAATGAGAAATTGGGTGAATAATAGATCTCTGGTTAGGAGATAAACCAGTATAGTTTTAGTAATTTAAATTTCCAGAATAAAATAATATTATTTGTTACTTGTCTCCCTCATTCTTTTATCCATTCTTTTTCTTTTTTTACCTCCATAAACTTTTCTCTCAAGCTCACCCACACTTGCAAATTAGAAACATCTTTGGAATTAATTTGGTGCTCAAAGGAAATAGGGTTCTATCTTTGTTGATATGTTTATGTTAATGTGTGTGACTGTCTAATTATGTTTTAAATTTTAATATGATGTATGTGGTGTTTTTTTTTATGATGTATAGTTGGATTATTGGTGGGTTGGGTGAATTGAAGGTAGATCAAGTAGAAAAATAAAGAAAAGAAAGAAAACAACAAGTCTAAAAATAGAATTCTTTAGGATTTCTGCACGAATATACTGTGTTGACCAATTATTTATCCGTTTAATTATTATGAAAATATTTTTAGTTTAAACTAGACATCCAGACCTTTCTATACATATAAATTATTAAGAAATTAGATTAGTATAGAATTAGTTATGAATTTTTGAATTTTTCCTAAGTTTCAGATTTAAGTAAGCTTGTGTAAGACATAACTCGTTCCACATAACTTGGATTGAGCTGAAACAATTTTTTTTAAAAGTTAAGATCTATTAGTTTATACCATAAAAATTTCAAAGTCTAATTCAATTTGAGCAGTTCCCAAAATTTTTCCAAAATTACCACTGGTGTTATTGAGTCAGAAACAAAGCAATCTATAACAACCAAATTTAGAATCTTATAGCTTAAGTTCTATTTAATCAAATGAAATGAAAATTTTTGAATATAAAATGTCATCCCTTAATCATTGGAATTTGAATTTTGGTGGATTTTAATATTTTTGAGTGTTATTCTAGGTAATCATAGGACAAATCATAGTAGAAAGCTAAAATCTTGAGCTGTAGTTGTCAAAATTGAATGATATCAATTATGTTTGAAAATAGACAAATAGGGCTTAAACATATAAAAATTTTAGGTCTATTGAAGTTATATAGCAATAAATATAGTAAATGCAAAACAAGGCAAAATTTATCCCTTTATGGATAGAATCATGAATTTAAAGAATTTATTTATTTACTATGATATATATGAATGTCTTTTTACTAGCTAGCACTATTCATAGGAAAGCAAATATGATCCGCTACATTACACAAATTTTGTAAGAGTTATGAATAAATTGTAAAACATCAAAAAAGATATGTACGGTATAATATGAAGGTTATGAAAGTTTAAGATGGTTGGAAGTTATAAGAAAGACCTATATCACTTGGGCCAGCCCTGGATAAAAAGTTAAAGGAAATAAGTCTATGGAAGCGTTGGGAAAGTAAGGATTCTTATGGCCAAGAACTCCCAGGAGACCAAGGATAGGAACTTATATGAGAATTAAGCTCATTATTATGTTATTGAAAGTATTTTTAATTAATAGTAGTTCATTTCTATGTTACTTTCAATTTCAACTTTAAATATTGTTATGTCACATGTATGATTCATGTTGAGTCTTTTGACTATTTATTCAATTACTTATATATGTGTATCATAATCATTGTGATCTTGTATATTACAAATGTTAGACATAAAATTTACTTTACTTCGGACCATGTTTTCAATAATCATAATTGAAAGATTTCCTTATTGGTTTAACAACCCTTTTATAAAAAAAAAAAAAACTGAAAGTAACTGAGAATGAAAGCGATGTCAACATAGAAGTACACAGCCCTATTGAGAATTTTAAAAGTTCTCACCCTACTTAGTTTTTGTTTTATTCTCAGATTTGCATGATGGATGCAACAATAGTGATCTACATTGAGTTTCCGGACATGGGTCACCGATCTTTTTGTATGTAATGGTCCTTATATGTATTCCTAATTATATGTAAATAACATGGTGTCCTATATATTTATATATCTAGTCATTATTTTGTAAAATGTATGAATTAAATTAATTATTATGTTTATCCAGGTTATTCTATATTCAATTTTCTTTTATTTTTTTTTATAACGTCTCGCTCTTTTATACATCCGATAATTACTACTAAATCAACATGAAATGAATGAGCAGAATAAACAAAATTTTTATTACTGTAATGCAACTACTATATTTAGTAATTATGACTTAAGTATAAACTAAATACAGTAAGGTGTTATAGTTATAGCAGGAGCTTGAATAATAAACTTTAAATAAACCACTTATTTTAGTGGCTAATGATCACATGACTTCGGTAGCTTGGACCCTAATGCATATATACGTCCTCTCTTGTTAACACTTCCAACAACCTTTAAGTGTTGACTACTACCTTCACCACTTTGAGGCTCCTTTTCACCTAGGTAGTTTTGGTGCATTTTCTAAAAATATTAAAT